CCAATCGTATGAGTCAAAACGATATTCAAACCAAAGTTTGATCCAAAATACATACTGAGTATTTGCTTTTAGATTCGGAATAGTGACTACGTTACCCTTTTGCGTTAAATTTTTGCTGTTGATTTTATGTGTAGAATCGATTATAACTTCATCCAAAGAATTTTTGGAATTAAATGGACGACATAACATCATAAACTTTTTGGCATACATATATGGTTCCCATGCAACCGTCAACGACTTTGAAGTCGATGCAATTAACTTTATTCGTTCCGGGTTCGGAAAAGTAATTATTCGCGTTGGCTCACTTTTACTAAACAAATGTAATTTTGTATAGGCTGCAAGCCATACAACATAACTTTGGTTTGGTTGCAAATTATTCATTTGGACTGATGTGGTGTTGTTTTTAACTTTTATAGAGACTTTCTTGTTTTTTCCTTGCATTTTATAGATGACGTCATAGTCAATCTTTGGTCCATTTATTTCCAATGGTGGTAGCCAGCTGATATTTATTTCAGTGGGGCTTAGCAGTTGTACTGTAACAGCTCTTGGTCGTGACGGTGCCCCAATTTGTGTTTTAAATACTGCTGGCCGTGTAGAACTTGGTGTCATATTAACAATTTCGTTGTAATAATTGTTGATGGTCACTTGGAATTGATACTTTGTATATGGCTTTAGATTGCCAACTTCTACCCACTTATCATTCATTTCAATTACGTTACACGTATAAATTGAACAATTTCTAAGCTCCGTTTTCCATTCTGTGTACATGATTTTGTATTTCCATGACATTGGAACAAATGAACAGTCCAAATTCACATTATTCGGCATCCGTAAAATCAACACTAATGATGTATCGGTTGATTCTTTAATTGCGATAGATGCCAACTGATTAAAGTTAGCTGGTGGAAGTAAACAACGAAGAGGGGGATAATTTTGCCGAAAAAATGGTAAAATTTTCATTGGACTGGAAAACATGTGTTGATAATGCGCTTGTTTCGGTTGTTTTTCAGCAAAAATTTCATTTTGATGTGTCCAGTAGATGTAAACATTATCACTATTTAAATTCATCATGTCCGATTGATATGAAAAATTGACGATTTTTCTTACTCTTGATCTTATATCCATTGAAATCAATTGGTTATGCTCATTCAACCATACAAGTTTTTCATGGTCCGCAGTAAGGAATAGTGTTTGGTGCATGATTAGTATGACTTGGCTGATTGAATCAAAAAAATTCAAATGTTCATTAACGTCAAATTGGTATACATTTAATAGTCCATGAATTGAATCATCAAATTGACTTTCGATCCAAAATAGGCGACGATTTAATGGTGACACAATCAACTTGTTTACAATCATCAGTGACTCATGTATTTTACTTCCTTCGTTTGTGTTTAAATTAAATGCATTGATGGAACTACCTTTGGATTCAGATTGTGACCAGTATATGATTTGCTCGACCCAATCAACTGTCAACGACAATACTGGTGCTTTTATTGAATACAATTTCTTTGGGCCATCTCGACTGTATAACATTACATTATTATTTTCATCCGTCCAAAATAATTGCTTGTTCCATGCAATATAGCACATTTGGTTCACTTTGGTATGGGTATTCACAAATATTTTGTGGGACTTTGAATCAAGATCAACAACAAATATTTCATGATTATTCGCAGCAAATAGACGTGGTATGGGTTTTTCATTTTGCGTATTGATACTTATCAATGATGAAAACTTCCCAACGCCGCCAGTCGTTTCAGCTTTTATTTTACAGTAGAACGTGACGTTTCTTTTCACATTTTTGATGTATTTCTCATTTATTTCGGGTTGCACTTGATGATCAATGTACTTATGAGTACAGCTGTTGTCTTTTTCATACCAACAATAGATCTTATAACCAAGCAGTGGTCCATTTATTGTTGTCGGCGTATTCCATCGGAAAATCACATCAATATCAACATTATCCTTCAATGGATTATGAACGTGTTGCACAAAAAAACGTGGTTGCAATGGTTCAGATGGTGGCGTGCTGATTTCGGTTGGATTCAGCGCCTAAAGAAAATTGCAAAATTCATTTCATTAATTTTTCGTCTCTCGCCAGTATGAGAAATATGATACGTTTAATGATTATATGTATATAAAAAAGCCAAATTCAGACTGTCATTAAAAATAATGACGTCTGTTTTGTTTAGACTTGGGGTCGGTGGCCAGCTATTTCGATGACCACACACGATTTTTCGGTGAGATAACAAAAAATGTAACTTACTTCTTGTGGATATTCGGTGGACAATTTTTTAATATATTTTTGTGAAGAATCAATTTCTGCTTCTGTATCTGTATTGCACTGTACGCATCCATTCAGCAAACAAACATTGATCACAATAATGAATACACAAATCACATTTGAATTTCGACGGAGTGAAGTAAATTCACTGTTTTGTGGCACCAACATGTTTCACTTAATGCTCTCAATATCTTCCAATGAACACTTTACACTCCCTCACAATTGTTTAACTCTGGATCGTTCAAATTTAATTGATCTTTGCATATTAAACACCCGAAGAAATGACAAAGAATAAAGAATGAGCGAAAACCGAAAAGTGAGAACTCCGTTTAACTTTCAATCAAAACATCAAAAGGATCAATTGCAGCCGCAGTGGTATCAATACTAACTCTGCTATACTATAGAACCAGAATGTGATGCGAAAGCGAACAAGTTGTATACGTTAAACACATACATACATACTCTG